TCTTTTCTTTGAAGAGGAACATATATACATGGTCATGTTGAAGTTCATCGTCCAAGATTGACACATATGTATTCTTGTCGCAAAGCGCAATGGCAGTACATGCAACAGCAGGACAGTATATACAAAATCTGAGACCTCTCCTTTAATCACATAAACCTGAGCATATGTAAAACTAGCTATGTACATATACACCTGTATGCCTATTCTTCTGTACACACATAAGTATATCGCATATATTGTCTACATTGCTGAAATAAAGCGGACGGTTGGACATCGTCATGTTGTTTTAGCTATTGAAGCAAAATTGATTCCAGTCATTATATGATGATCACAATGCGTAAAATGTGTATGTTGTGTCAAACGATAATACAGATAATGTGTTTATGCTAGGAGAATACAGCACATGAAGTTATAAAATATATACCGGTAACAGTATGTAGGATAATGCGTTCTACCCACAGTCTACTAACCTCGGTGTGCCAGGAAATCAAATACAAACCAAACGTCCTACACATACAAACCGAATAGTCACAATATTTATATATTTATATATTTATATATTTTCTTGTTGAATATATTTATACATATTTATATATTTTCTTGTTGAATAATTTCAAACGTAAATCTGTTTACGTATCTAAATGTTATTTTTGTATTAAAACCTTGAATGTCATGGACCAAATAGGATAAAGCAAAATAGTATGTCTTTAGTGAAAGATTACTTTCATTTTGAATGTGTTTGTTATACACTTACTACTTAGATATGATGAAGAACAAAGTTTGAATTAAAAAACAACTTTCCAAACATATATTTTATTGGAACAAGGCTGATTTGTATGTTTACAACTCAGATCCAATTGACCATGGACCAAAGTAACTATACCTCTCAGGTGATTTTATCATACGTTTCATTTTCAGTTGAAAATATCTTAAGTTAGCGATATCATATCCAAAACATGGACTGGCGCTTACCACGCAAAAACGTCTACTTGTTTTTTTCTTTTAAAATATAATTTGAGTTAAAACTTTTAATCTTTTTTAATCGCTTAATACACAACTGATAATGAGTATGTTAGACATCTTATCTTTGAAAAATCGATAAATTTGCTTTTGTCGGCACAAATGTACAACATTTCAAACATGATGGGGGTCATGTGTTTGCAAATAATTTTTTTACCCCAGTCTGCTTTCAAATAATTTTTTTTTACATAAAATCACCCAGCCACAATAGACATATTTTTTAAAATGTTGCAGCAATGAGTATTGGTTAAATAGATATTATCAAATTTAACCATAGTTCTTCCAATTTTCAAGGCCATAAAAAACCTAGAATTTGTACTGTCTTTTGCCGCTGAGTGTATAAGCAATAGATTCGCATGGCTAATAAGGTTTTATGCTGGATAACACCAATATCATTTCAAAAATCATATTAGGAAAAAATACATCTTCGCATATCAAGAATGATAGGGATATGTGTGAGCATTCATTTTGTAATCCGTGTTATGACTCTAGGCAACCAAACTTATGTTCAACATCATATTCACACGTCCTGAAGCAAACACGTGATTAATGTTATGGGTGTCCGGCAGGCAGTAAGGGCGAGGGGTAGGAGAGAGAGGGGGGTGGGGGGTGGGGTTGGGGGAGGGGGTGGGGGGTGGGGGTGGAGTTTGATGAGAGAGAGGACATGGTTTTCTCGTCAATATGGAGTAGGGAAATACATCGTTTTCACTTAGAATTTGCAGTAAACTGATCTGCCACGAGGACTATCAAGTGCTCTGGCGCCATGAACCTCAAACTACCCGTCAAGTGCAGCAGCAACTTTCCTCTATTTTTCTGGAAGCGGTGACAGTGAAACTGCCCGTCAAATACAGCAACTTTCTTTTATATAGTTTGAGGCGGGTGAGATTGAAACTGCCCGTCCAATACGCCAACTTTTCAATATTTACTATTTATTTGGAAGCGGGTGGGGATACATACATATAACATCAAATTACACACTATGTGTGGATACATACATATAACATCAAATTACACACTATGTGTGTGAAATACATATAAGCCACAGAACGAGTGTCCAGATGCAATGTGTAATATCTATATGACCTTCCATTCTCGCGGATATAGAAAGGGTACAAAACATTTTTGAGTATATGACTGAATTGCAGGAACAACATTGTAGCTCAGAATAATATGCGTGACATTTGATGTTACATTCACGGTAGAGTATTGTAACAAGTGCAGCTGATACTAATTAGCAACATCACCTCCATGTCACCGTAACCATGCCATAGACTGTACACTTAGCACCCGACCTGTAGGTTACACACTACCATGTCCGTCTCACTATGAGATAGATATCTTAAAACGATCTCTTGTGTTAGTGTATTTCAATGAGTAGGATTTAATGAAGTAAATAATGTTTCGTGCCTCATGACAAATACCTGAAAATTATTATATGACATGTGGTATCAGGATCCCAATTACGAGGTACAATATTAATACAGTGTATTTATAAATGATAATTCCAATAGTGTTACATGATAATTACAATCGTTATAATTTGACATGCATGTTTTTATGCCTTCAAGATATAGCGGTGGAATATCGGAATACAACGGGAAGGAACATACATATTGAAGGCTTATTTACTTTGAATTTATTTAATTCGTTTTGCGGTTTTTATATAGAATCCAAAGGCCCGGATATGTTCGCAACATAAAATATGGCTATTCGTAACAGCGTGTCTTCTGGATCATCAGCCATAACGCTACAATCAGAAGCAAAAACGGTCCGTATTTAATATTGCACTAACACCATGACTTTGTTTGAAATGTCATGTCAGTGAATGCCATGTTCGCTCTGCACAAGCTGCCTGGCGATGCGTTCACTCCGGCATGTGGCAAACCCAACTCTTATCGTCTCAGTCAGTATTTAAAGAATTACATACGCTGTTAAAAAACAATATTTTTTCATGAAATTCAAGCTGCAATTTCCTACTTGAACATGTTTCTCCTGAAGTTAATTTAGCCTTTAATTTCTGATTTCAAACTAATGATCTTTGGGAGCATAAAATTTATCTAAAAGCAATAAAATAATATTCCTGCTTTGATTTTATCTCCACGATATCGGGTTTTGTCCGCCGTCTTCAGACGCCGCCCGTACCTGAGACATACAATACAGACATACAATTTTTTGTATACAGATTATGAAAATCAGACCTGTTTTGCTGGGTGGGAACCACCCAACGAAACCGTATCACTCGATCCGCCGATGCTGAATAAACCCGCAGTGTGTGATCGTCGTTCCTTGCACACTGCCGATCTACACACTTACGTCAACGACCGGCTTTGAGTTTTGTAACTTATAACGGCTAATAAGTTGGTGGAGTTCGGGGTGACTGGTCAGTGGAGGGCAGCTTGTGTGGACCTTTTACAGACGCATCTAGTGTCCATCCTGTTTCAGTGACTTCACTACTTTCGTGTTAATACTTTCACAAATGTTTCAACAGCTATGTGTGTAATTTAAACTCCCCAAGTATCAAGAAACTGTCACTTTACAACATAGAGGTCAGGCCGAATTTTAGATCTAAAAGTGGACAGATTAATATATTTCCTTTCAATACATTATTGACATTTAGCTACGCCGTTCTCAAAGCAAAGAAAGTACACTCACAAAATACACACACAAACACACACGCAGACAGCCTTCAGAAATATATACCCAAGTTGACCAGTTCGACAACAACACAATAAAGGGACCACGCAAAACAGAACTAAAATTACACCTACAAAAACGCGGCCGTTGTGGTGTATGTTATGGCCATCCGGGCTGCTCCCACCAGTCATTAAACAGATATCAGCGATTGAGCCATCAATCACTGTCACTTCACATTCATCATCGCACATTTCTGTTCACGTTTATCAATCGAGGTTCCCTTGAGATCGAGCAAAAAAAAACCCAACAGGATTATATTTTCATGATTCTCAACATTCAGATAATGGACAGGAGCCCTGTTCTCACAGTCACGTGTTGCCAGGTGGAAGACGTGTATGCAACGGGCCATGTTCTTATTCATCAACACAGGTAGCATATAAGATTCAGGGCTCATTGGTGCAATGATTGGACAATCAATGTATGTATGTATGTATGTATGTATGTATGTATGTATGTATGTATGTATGTATGTATGTATGTATGTATGTATGTATGTATGTATGTATGTATGTATGTATGTATGTATGTATGTATGTATGTATGTATGTATGTATGTATGTATGTATGTGTAGCCGACAGAAACAAGAGAAGGGAAGATTGTTGCGGAAACTATTATCCATATTTTCACACAACCATGTAAACATTTGCACACAGAAATAGCAGATTAACGCTTTTACTTCAATATATAAATCTGTATTATAAAGGATAACATGTCAATTTTGTCAGCATCACATGAGTAGAATTTACTCCAATAGCATGACAATGATTTTTAATCTACATAACACTAGATTAATCTTTCCTCCAGAATACAGAAATAAATATATTCATTTCCTTGACAATCGCATGAGTTATTGAAATGATCAAACTGGCACATTTGAGCAGAGGTTTCTGCAAAGTATTGTCATGTTACTCTTTTACACTGATTAACATAACTGTCCTTAAAATTCCATACAGACTATCTAAATATAAAACAAGAATTGGTGGTCAACATCGATTTTAGTGAACTGCATAAGTTTAAAGACTTTCACAAAATGTCAACCAATTTTGAAGTAATCTAGTGAAAAGAATACCAAAAATGAAGTAATATCGACCATTAGTAAGTTATATTTTTCAGTGAAGGCATTGGTCATATATTAGAGTTGTGTACCTGAATGCACTTTATTAAATTGTTGTCTTTAAATGTGGTTCACTATATATCATTGTTAAGTTTGAAATACTTGAAATCAGGTTGGTTTCTTTTCAAATTTGGTCTAAAAATCATATTGCAAAAGCATCTCAACACTCACGTTTGATAACCATGTTGCAGAAAGGCGGACTGTTCCATGATACAGGTAGGAGTTGCCTCAGACAATCCAATCTCCACCTTACAACACAAGGGATGTGTAACAATCTGGATACAACTTCATCACCGTCATTTTACACATACAGATTTGAATAAACCGACAGAATGACTACCCCCCTCAACAATTTTATCCTCAACTATCTAGGATTTCTGTGTCTGGTACAGGCATGGAAATACACTTTGTAAATGGTAGCAAAGGTCTTATGTCCTCCAACTATGAGGTAAAGTGTCTTGTTATCAATTATTTGAACACCTGTCATTTGCGTTGCTACACACATGCCTACTGTCACCGAACAGAGCACAGTGGTGTGTGTCTCTTTTCTTTCTTCCCGTATTGCTGTGGTTGTTTTATCTATAGACATGGACTAAACATCATCTTAATGGCTACTAAACATATATCTCCTTGAAAACTACTAAGCATGAAAGAACAACATACACAGAGAGGTTAACGATGCTGTAAAAGGCAAATGACTGGTCAATGAGCAACATCATTTAAAGCTGCTAGTTGGTCCGGGAATGATGAACTAAGAATTAGTTATTGCCCAAAATGTACAAATAATTCATCTGAGTTTATGTATATCCAATTTGATTAAAAATAAATGTAGAAAGTATTCAAAGAAAGAAATTTGTGAAATTCAAACTAATCAAACACATCGGCAACCAACACAACTAATGTTTATATACGGTTATTTAATAATATGGAGAGTATAGAATTCTGGAATTGGGTGAAATAGATCTGAATCTCTGAAATAAATATAACATTAAGTTGAAAGACTCATCTGAATACATTGGCAAAGAAGATGTATTTATAGATTTAGAAAACAGAATATTTATCTCAGATCATTAACAAAGATACAAGACTATGAATCACTAATACATCAAGGAAATATTTCACCTTGCGGCGTCAGATACTTTCATCGACTAATATGTATTGTTATGTAAATTTGTTTTTAACGTCAATATATAATCCCTATGGTCGTCCTGTACCTGTTACAAAGATAGTAGTGATATTAGAAAATGTTCAAATGCACAAAACACACAATTATCAAGATAAAGATCAACACAACAAGATGAAGTGTATGGCAGTTACCCACGTGCAGGCTAACAACGCAGCAAGATGATGTGTATGGCAGTTACCCACGTACAGGCTAACAACGCAGCAAGATGAAGTGTATGACAGTTACCCACGTGCAGGCTTACAACGCATCAAGTTGAAGTGTATGACAGTTACCCACGTGCAGGCTAACAACGCAGCAAGATGAAGTGTATGACAGTTACCCACGTGCAGGCTAATAACGCAACAAGATGAAGTGTATGGCAGTTACCCACGTGCAGGCTTACAACGAATCGAGTTGAAGTGTATGACAGTTACCCACGTGCAGGCTTACAACGAATCAAGTTGAAGTGTATGACAGTTACCCACGTGCAGGCTTACAACGCATCAAGATGAAGTGTATGACAGTTACCCACGTGCAGGCTTACAACGCATCAAGTTGAAGTGTATGACAGTTACCCACGTGCAGACTAACAACGCATCAAGTTGAAGTGTATGACAGTTACCCACGTGCAGGCTAACAACGCATCAAGTTGAAGTGTATGACAGTTACCCACGTGCAGGCTTACATCGCAGCAAGATGAAGTGTATGGCAGTTACCCACGTGCAGGCTAACAACGCAGCAAGATGAAGTGTATGGCAGTTACCCACGTGCAGACTAACAACGCATCAAGTTGAAGTGTATGACAGTTACCCACGTGCAGGCTAACAACGCATCAAGTTGAAGTGTATGACAGTTACCCACGTGCAGGCTTACATCGCAGCAAGATGAAGTGTATGGCAGTTACCCACGTGCAGGCTAACAACGCAGCAAGATGAAGTGTATGGCAGTTACCCACGTGCAGGCTAACAACGCATCAAGATGAAGTGTATGGCAGTTACCCACGTGCAGGCTAACAATGCAGCAAGCTGGCGTGTATGACAGTTACCCACGTGCAGGCTTACAACGCAGCAAGTTGAAGTGTATGGCAGTTACCCATATGTAGGCTAACAACGCAGCAAGTTGAAGTGTATGGCAGTTACCCATATGTAGGCTAACAACGCAGCAAGATGAAGTGTATGGCAGTTACCCATTTGTAGGCTAACAACGCAGCAAGATGACGTGTATGGCAGTTACCCATTTGTAGGCTAACAACGCAGCAAGATGAAGTGTATGGCAGTTACCCACGTGCAGGCTAATGTCGCAACAAGATGAAGTGTATGGCAGTTACCCACGTGCAGGCTAATGTCGAAACAAGATGAAGTGTATGGCAGTTACCCACGTGCAGGATAACAACGCAGCAAGATGACGTGTATGTCAGTTACCCACGTGCAGGCTAATGTCGCAACAAGATGAAGTGTATGGCAGTTACCCACGTGCAGGCTAATAACGCAGCAAGATGACGTGTATGGCAGTTACCCACGTGCAGGCTAATGTCGCAACAAGATGAAGTGTATGGCAGTTACCCATGTGCAGGCTAACAACGCAGCAAGATGAAGTGTATGGCAGTTACCCACGTGCAGGCTAACAACACAACAAGATGATGTGTATGGCAGTTACCCACGTGCAGGCTTACAACGAATCGAGTTGAAGTGTATGACAGTTACCCACGTGCAGGCTAACAACACAACAAGATGAAGTGTATGGCAGTTACCCACGTGCAGGCTAACAACACAACAAGATGAAGTGTATGGCAGTTACCCACGTGCAGGCAAACAACACAACAAGATGATGTGTATGGCAGTTACCCACGTGCAGGCTAACAATGCAGCAAGATGAAGTGTATGGCAGTTACCCACGTGCAGGCTAATGTCGAAACAAGATGAAGTGTATGGCAGTTACCCACGTGCAGGATAACAACGCAGCAAGATGACGTGTATGGCAGTTACCCACGTGCAGGCTAATGTCGCAACAAGATGAAGTGTAAGGCAGTTACCCACGTGCAGGCTAATGTCGCAACAAGATGAAGTGTATGGCAGTTACCCACGTGCAGGCTAATGTCGCAACAAGATGAAGTGTATGGCAGTTACCCACGTGCAGGCTAATGTCGCAACAAGATGAAGTGTATGGCAGTTACCCACGTGCAGGCTAATAACGCAACAAGATGAAGTGTATGGCAGTTACCCACGTGCAGGCTAATGTCGAAACAAGATGAAGTGTATGGCAGTTACCCACGTGCAGGCTAATAACGCAGCAAGATGAAGTGTATGGCAGTTACCCACGTGCAGGCTAACAACACAACAAGATGAAGTGTATGGCAGTTACCCACGTGCAGGCTAACAACGCAGCAAGATGAAGTGTATGGCAGTTACCCACGTGCAGGCTAACAACACAACAAGATGAAGTGTATGGCAGTTACCCACGTGCAGGCTAACAACGCAGCAAGATGAAGTGTATGGCAGTTACCCACGTGCAGGCTAACAACGCAGCAAGATGAAGTGTATGGCAGTTACCCACGTGCAGGCTAACAACGCAGCAAGATGAAGTGTATGGCAGTTACCCACGGTGAGGCTAACAACGTAGCAAGATGAAGTGTATGGCAGTTACCCACTTGCAGGCTAACAACGCAGCAAGATGAAGAATATGGAAGTTACCCACGTGTAGGCTAATGTCGCAACAAGATGACGTGTATGGCAGTTACCCACTTGTAGGCTAACAACGCAGCAAGATGATGTGTGTGTGTCAGTTACGCGTCATCTTGGAAAATATCAAGAAGTATGTGTCAGTTAGTTACGTGTAAGCTAAGAACGTATCGTGATGAAATGTATAGGATTTATGTTTGAGACAGAATATTTTTTTATACACAGAAATAAAGAATTATTAGGAACCAAGTATTTTAGAACATCCAGTATCCAGTGAACGATTCATTTTTATTTAGGTTCAACCTGAGGACAAATTAATTTATATACTATTAATTAAAAAAATTCCAGCCCATCTGAATATCAAATGGTCGGCCCCTACGCAGCAAAAACAATGGTTGAAGTTACCTACAAATCTGTACACCCCAGTCATGTCACGCTAGACATGCAGTTGTTGCTACCACAGCAATTATTAGTATTGTTATCATGCGATAGTAAAATTATTCCTTTATAAATTGGACGTCAGTACACGAGCCATGTAGAGTGAGTATTGTGTACACTGTATGTTCTATCAACATGCAGTGGATAAAGGAGGGGAATCCCACGAATTGTTTTGTAGCTGTTGACTCAGAAAATCCTATGACGCTTGCATCGAAAATATACAAAGTTACTGGCAAATATATATGAAAAGGTAATGGTGTATGTACGCAGAGACGGTACTCTCAGATGAATCTGGATGTAATTTTGGTGTTAGAAGAGGTTGTATATTAAATTATTTTTTGTTGTCTTTCTTTGGTAAGGGGCCGCTTTAATAACGGGCGTGCAGCATAATATGATATCAATATATTGTTAAAATCATCTTACAGTCATTCGCTGATGAAATTGTTAATATGGTTCTAGTACTTCTGATGACTTGCATAATAAGTGTTAACACAAAAAGGCAAAAATTTGCGTTCTTAAGATAAATGAAAGTAATTTAGCAAAATAAGAGAATGTTATTACAAAGGGAATCCTTTAGATGTAGGTGCACGTTAGTGGAAAGTTGCAGACAATAATACTCAAACTTCATTAGTTTGAGGAGAGTGTGGCAGATTTCGTCATCAAATCCCCTGTCATATATCCCACAGTAGGACATGATGTTATACGATAGCTGTAGAAAATATAATTGGGCTTTGTTTGACATAAACCATGAATCAAAGGTAAAGTATCCCGAACGCTTTGTTAAAACTGTTACTTAGACTCTCAAAAGATGTGAATATAAAATTAGTACTCGTCTCCAACGCTATTTACACAGAGGAGATTTTTTTAAAATTAGGAACCAAGTATTTGTTTTCAGAACATCCAGTCTCCAGTGACAGATTTATTTTTATTTTGGTTCAACCTGAGGATAAATTAATTTGTTAATATATTATTACGAAAAGACATTCCAGACCCCCAGATACCAACTGGTCGGTCCCTACAATAGTGGTTTTCAATATTATTTTTATATCTAACTTACAAATCGGAAAGCTTTCTTCTTACAACGTTTCTAAATATAACCAAAGTAGCCCTTTCTGTGTTTAGGTCTCTTCAAATGATCTAGCTTTCCTAACAGG